GTTTACGCGTGAGCACACACGCGGAACGAAGACACCCATACGCTGTCTCTAACAACAAGCAAGGGTAACGCAACTACGACGACGATGATGATGATGATGATGATGATGATGACGCCGCTGTACTGGTACTGAGGATGACGATGACTATGACGATGACAACAACGAGCTCGGTTCGGTTCGGTTCGGCTCAGCTCAACTCAGCTCACTCGTTTGTTTACTCGCCGCTTCGCTCCCGTGTAAACGCGCCACCAAGCCGTTTCACCTTGTTTCACCCTCCTGTCTCCCCATCCTCTCCGTTGCACCTCGCGCTCTGCTGCATCCAATCCCTACTCTCTAACAGCTAAGCGGGAAACCCTTTATATTCCCCTTCTCTCTATCTCTCTCTCTCTTGCTGCTAGGTATCTCTCTCTTTTGTATTCTACAACAACACGCTGCTCCCACGATATCGTCTCGCTACACCTCTCTCTCTCTCTCTTTCAGCTTATACACACATACACGTATATATATAAATCTATACGTTCTCTGTATCTCTCTCTCTCTCTCTCTCTCTCTGTTGCCTTCGGATGAGGAATGACATCGCCGTAGGCGACGTCGGCACTCTGCCAGCAGCAGAGAACCCGGGGCTCTCGTATGTTGTACGAAAAACTCGTCGAGAGAGAGAGATAAAGAGAGATAGAGAGAAAGAAAAATCGTGAGAGACACGAGAAGCAGCAACGAGAAAAGATACGAAAAGAAAAGAAAAGAAAAGAAAAGAAAAGAGAAGAAAATAAGGAATGAAAAAGAAATGTTGCTGGAGATGCACCGACAGAAAAGCAAGCAAGCAAGGATCACACAACAACGTTGTCTTCGTTCTTCGTCTTCGTCTTCGTCTTCGTCACGGAGCCATTTGAAAAGCCCTGTATTATGAGAACAGAGTGCTCTGACACGCACTGCCGCTTCGCATCTCACACCCCAACCTTTTCCTTCTTCATCTTCCTCTTCTTCATCTTCTTTTTCTTTTCTTCCGCCTTCTTCTTTCTTTCCACTTGGCCTCTTCTCCAAGACTTTCGACTTTTCATCTTCTCTTTTTCTCTCTCTCTCTCTCTCTCTCTCTCTCTCTTTTACAGCTGATCGTGTAAGCTAGCTAGCTAGGCCAAGAATAGGCTAGACTACTGTACTTCCTCTTCTTGACCGATCGAAAGAAAGAAAGGCATGCCTTTCAAGTTCTATTCGACATCGAACGGGATCGCTAAAACGGAACTGATCTTTTACTACTACTACTACTACTACTACTATTACTATTTTTTTTTTATCGTGGTAAAAAGTAAAGGCAAATCTTTTATAGACCATAGGCGTCGGCCCTGCCCCTGCAATCTGAGGGTCGCCCCTCGACGTCAGAAGCAGAGCCGGCGCCCGTGTGCTGAACTCTCGTCTCGTCCTTTCCTACGAAGCGCATATCAGCTAGCCCCCCCCTCCCCTCCCCTGATCATTCCTTGTTCAGGCGAGGGGAAAATCCACTTCTGTCCGCCTCTCCCCCCAGCCAGGGATTACTTTAGTATTACTTCTAGTTGGGAGTCTTACTATTACTATTACTACTACTACTACTATTACTGCTACTATTATTTACTGTTTTTAATCTATCGATTGAACTTTTGTTTACTATCGTTAATGTGACGAATAATTTAAAGAATTGAACAGACCAAAGAATGAAACCCCCATAAAAAAAATAACAAAATTAAGAAAGATTGTGCTAAAAGAAAACTGAAACAAGAATAAATGTAGAAATAAAATAAAAATGCAAACAACAACAACAGCAACAACAAATTAACAACAATTGTATCTTGCATGATTGCAGGCGAACAAACCACTAATGGAAAAGCGACGACGAGCGAGGATCAACCAATCCCTGGCAGCCCTAAAAGCGCTGATCCTTGACAGCGCAAGGCTCGAGAATACTAAACACAGTAAACTCGAGAAAGCTGACATCTTGGAGTTGACGGTTAGGCATCTGCAAAGGCAAAGATCTCTAGCACAACCTGGCCTGTCCAGGTACAAGGCTGGCTACCAAGATTGCTCCAGGGAGGTAAGTGTTCTTGTTGTCGCCGTATATAACTTTACCAACACTAACTATCACACACCTTTACATATGTCATCTATTTTTTTTATTTTTTTATATATATATATATATAATGTGAACTGGTAATTATGACAATGGAATAACGTGCAAATTCAACACAATTATTGTTTATTTATTTGGTTGGCAAGTAAATGATTGAGAATTTTGTCGATAGATGGTCTTTTAAAATCAGCAATGACTTAATTGCCAACCTAATATATGAACAATTCTATATTGCAACATTGTTTTTAATTATCTAATTTATAATTAGTAATATGAAGACACATTTGATGAAAACACTGTCGTAATGATGGTAAAGGTATAATCCCAAAATTGATAATATTAAATCTTGTAACTTAGTGCACTTGTGTCATAATTACTTACACTCACATATACATATATATA